TGGAGGATATTCGGGATGCAGATCCCTCCTTGTACAGTAGCTAGAAGAAGATACTCGAGATGGATCCTGAGACGGTGGATCAAGATATACTTAGCTTGACCTTCGCTTATGATGTTGAAGAATTGGGGCCCAGAACAACAATCGAGCTTTGTCCCGATGGGAAAGATATTGTCGTGAACAGTAAGAATAGGAAGCAGTATGTTAATCTCCTTATTCAACATCGTTTTGTCATATCAATTGCTTCGCAGATAGCTCATTTTTCTCAAGGTTTTTCTGATATAACTACCTCAAGTATCAAAACTTCCTTGTTTCGGAGTTTATATCTTGAAGATCTTGACAAAATGTTTGATGGGAGTGGAGCTGCTATTTCTGTTGAAGATTGGAAAGCACATACCGATTACAATGGATACGAAGAAAATGATCATCAAATATCCTGGTTCTGGAAGGTCATATATCATCACATTATTTACAACTTCACACTTTAACCCGCTCTTTCTAACACATATTTATTTATTTTCTTTCCTTGCGTGCAGATAGTTAAGTGTATGTCTGCTGAGCAAAGAAAAGTGCTTCTTTTCTTCTGGACTTCTATAAGGTATCTACCTCTAGAGGGTTTTCGAGGTTTAGATTCTAGACTTTGCATCTCTAGAACCTCAGAGTCTTGTGAACACTTGCCTTCTGCACAAACATGCCTCCACCTGTTGCGTGTTCCTCCTTATTTTAACAGGGTTATGATGCAAAATCGACTCGAAATGATTACCCAAGAACATATTGGTTGCAGCTTTGGTAACCTGTGATTGAACTTGCACACTTAGTCAGTTTATACTGTTGTACTCAAGTGTAGAATATGCTTACCTATATAAAACTCTGACTTTTTTAATATAGAAGCAATGAATGTCATTCAATTTTAATTTCACCAAGCTTCAATATGTTTAACTTTTTTTCGTAACACAACTTTCTATGTAATAAAAGATTGATAACTGCATTTCCTTGTAATCATTCAAAAGTCAAATTAAACATGAGAAATCATGGGGGGGGAAATTAATTTCTAGAGTTTCACTTTTAATGATGGAAAAATTAAATCATATGAATATAACTTCAATTATACTATGGTCAAAGCTTTCATAAAGTTACATAATTGAAAATAGCCTAAAATCGCAATTGTTAGCAATCTGCAACATTTACATTATGTTGTTTGATTTAAATTAAGATATTTTCTTATTACCATATATAGTGTATATATATATAAGAGGAGGGTTCTGTCTTACCTCAAAATACAACACAACGATAAAAATTTATCCTTCGCAAAATTTACCATATAGGAGATTACTCATCATACACACCTAATCATATTCATAGGCATCCGATTAAATCTTTTTGCGATAATTTAGCTAAATTTGATTCGAAACATACAAAAATGTTAATATACATTTTTTTAAAATCAAATTTTACGCTTTAGACAATCTTTCTGATAATATTCTTTCCTTTACATAATAAAACATATCTACCTTATATTCTTTTCTTTTAAAATAAAAATCGAAGTTGTAGAGTTACACTGTGAAGAGAGATTGACATTAGAACCTGCAGCTTCGACACCTCTAGCCGTCTCATCACCCTGCAGTTTAAATCCTATTGGAATTTGGAACAGTTTGATACAACATTCACTTGCCCTGCAGGGAGATGAGAAGGTCGGGATGTCGAGGTTGCAGGTTCTAGTGTCAACCATGTCTTTGAAAAGGGGGTGTCGAGGCTAGTTTGGTCTTTTTTATTCTTTTTTCTTTTTAATAAATTATAAATATTATCATTAAACAAATAAATACACGCACTCTAGAGATTCAGACCACCTTCCATAAAGGGAGCCCAATCCCTAAGGCCTTAAAAAAAAACTTATTACAATTTTCTGTTGTCAGTAATTAATCTTGTTTAATTATAAAACTGTTGGATCATGGTTCCCCAAATAGCAATTGAAACTCTTCTTTTACTTGTTTCTAGTGTCTCTCATTGATCAAGAATAAGTACTATTGTTCAACATTACCTCTTTTAATTTGTAGAATAATTCTTTTGATAAATTTTCAATATCATTTTTATATTTGTTCATATTATGTGAACAAGCAGTAATATAAAATAATGTTAAGTATTAAATTGTCAAATTATCAATTATGAAAACAAAAAATTGTGATATTATGTTTGTAGTCACTATTCACGCATTATGACCGTAGAATTTTATTTGATGACTTAAATTGTCGACGCCAATATCAAGTTACTACATATAATTCATGATGGTTATTCTATAGTAGTATTATTTTTCTAAAAATGATAAATACTTTAAAGGTATCAAAATTATGAATTAAAAGTATTTTGTCATTAAAGAGAGGAGATTTAGAGACGATAGGTGTCAATTAAAATGATCTCAAATTGTAGATCTATTAATGAAAGTTTAATTACAATCGTAGACATTTAAAGAATATGTACATATAATGAGTCTTAATTATATTTATGATTGATTTGTTTATGATTTTTTGACACTTTAAACTTAATTATGATTTTCTGATATACATCAATAGTTTTCTATTTTTCAAATAGATGTACACATTATTATTTTGAGATATTATAGAATAAGTCTTAATGAAATATTATTGTGGACTATAATAGTAAATGTCTTATAGCTTATGAGCATGGTTGATAGGTTGCTGATGTTGTAGTATATAGAAGCAATTATGTAGCACAAAATTATGTATAACCGTCATAATTCACATTAATAATTTTTCATATTATGGTATGTATGATGGACATAATAGAAAATGAATGTGTCATCAAATATTGGTGTTATGTGGTCATTATGTCAAGTGAGAAAATGTTAAGACTTTTTATTAATCAGTGTGTAGCCTAAATAATAGAAAACACATTACTAATATTTAATGAAGAATAAATTTTGTATGTTAGATCGATTATTTGATAAACGTACTTAAATAATAAATCTTAACTTTTATATACTGGTCTTCCCTCCACTAATTAAGGTTACCATATGCTTTATATGTTTTCAATCACAGATCGTTGTGGTAAGTAAGACTAATACAATAACGTAGAAATCAATTTCATTACGCTTTCACTTTGTGGATAATGTCTTTCGCTTCAGATAAACACTTTATAGCGTTTTTGTATAAAATTATCATATTCAATTAAAAAATCCTGATATGGATTAAATTTAAGTTTACATATTCAATCAAAAGAAATAAGCGGTCATATTAAAAGACGTTTTGACTAAGATCAATCAATTTTAAAAGGTTCTTCTTATCATTTAATTAATGGGCAAAAAACTTAAGTATACACCTTAAGTACCTTAATTACTACTATATAACAATACTTTTTTTTCCACTTATATAGCAATAGTTTTTTTACAAAATTAGAATTATTTTTTTTTAAAAAGAAACGTAGAATTAGATTTTATTTTTTAAAAAAAAAAACGTAGAACGAGTCTGCCATATTATCACATATCCCTTAATTTTCTCCAATTATTTTACCTTCCCTGATTTACTCAGATTTGTTAAATATTCTCTCTCATGAAGAGAGGTTTCTAACAAAAATAAAACTCCTTGACTACTCTGATCAACTATTGAAAATGGATGGTATGTGAATAAAAATGATTGAATTGATTTTTTTTTACGTTGTTGATATATTTGATTTTTCTCACCATATGTGTTTAATGTTTTTGATAATTAGCCGTTTGTTTATATTGTACTTTGTTGTGGTGTAATATAAAATTTATATAATTTCATTAATAGCATGATACATCGATTGGATGAATTTTATTGTTGAATAAACATTAAATATTGGTAATAGTTTTTGGTATAATATTAGGGTTTTGTTATATTATTAGGTTTTTGGTGGTATAGAATATAAACTTTTGGTTACTGTGTGTATAAAACAATACAACTTAAGTATGCATGCTGGCATCAAAACGGTTTAATTGGTATGTTGCATATGTTATATTAACAGCAAAAATCAATATGATGTTATTGTTAATATTTAGAGGTTATATAAAGACCAACTTCAAGTTAAAATTCTGATACGTGTATTGGTGTATCTAATTAAAAAAAAAAATTGGTATGTGATCAGATGTAATTGGTATGGTACATGCCTTATATAAAGAACATAAATAAATAATTTGTTTTTGTGTGTGATATTTTGTTATTGATATTTTTTAAGGCCTTATACAATATATCAAGTTCAATCAATATTTTGATATGTGTGTTGGTGAATTTGTTTGTCTGATTGGTGTGATAACAAATTTTATATCTTAATTTTCAAATACTTATGATATGTGTTTTGGTGTAATTAGTAATTTTTTGACCCTGTGTAAAAACCAAGTTAAAAATTAATATTTTTGTACATATTATAGCTAACAAAATTAATGAATTATGTGTTGTTTATAATGCTTAATGATGGTGTAGATGATTTCGTTTAGTTGATCTTGTGTATTATATTTTTTATAAAAATCAAATTTCATATCAAGTTTATTATGTAGTTTTTGTTGGGGTGAATAAATACAATGACATTTGGTATGTGATTTGGTGTAAATTATTTTGTGTAATTGATATTATGAATAATGTTTTGGTGTGTGATTTAGTATGTGAAATAGTAAGTTATTTGGTAAGTGAAATTGTGGTGTCTGATTTGGTAAATTTTTTGGTGTCAGATTTAATAAGTTTTTTGGTATCTGATTTGATAAGTGTTGCTGTAAATATTATCGTACATCAGATTGGTGTATTAATTTACCTGAATTGATTTATATAACATGTTTAAAGAAATATTGAGTTGCATACTTTAGTGTAGATGACAGTGTAAATTATGTTTTGGTAAGTCATTTGGTAACTGATAGTTACCAATTGTGGTACATGATTTGG